AGGGTTTTTGGCCAACTCCCCTAGGTGAACTGCCAGTGGTCCACCAACCCGGCTATAGCCCCGGATATCGGCTTTTCCTCCTCTCATTTTGGTGGGAAAACACCTCCGCCGCGAGAAGGCAGTGAGTAGGGCTTCCTTAGCAGAGGCTATTTGAGACGCTTGGTGGTATGGGGGCATTTCGTGAGGTGCAAGGGACGAGTGACCAGCCGCAACCCTAGACACCCACCCCCAACCATACTGCGGCCTTGGGAGGCTCCCCCACAGATAACATCTGTGTGTGTGTTTAAGGGCTCGAAGTGCATCCATAGAGTGAACTGACCGGTCGGTTATGGATATTATATCTTGTGTTGTACTCCCGAGATTGTTTATCAATTCATCCATCAAACTGACTTGTTCTCAAGAAGGAGAAACTTGTCTGCATCGATTCTGAATATATCTTAAGATTGCAAAATGGTATGCCTCTTTTCAAAATCTATTACAAATGATGGGTTACTGTCTGTCTTGTTTGCAGGCATAGAGCTCCGTTAAGGTTTCCTTTCTAAGGTGCTTCACTATTTGACTACTCCATCCAAGGAAGGTTTAAATTACAGTCTTCTAGGTAACCTCAAGTTTGTTTTATCCAGCTATACAATGTTACAGAAATAATTGTTCGATAATATATGTATCGAGCATACTCTCCTTGTTGTCTAATTAATATAAATATATATATCACTGGCTTCCGATCAAACGTGATGCCAATACTACAATTACAAAAGATGTTTTGATTTGTTGTTTACTGTAGTAGTTCAGATTACTTTATCTAGCTTTAGTTTGTACGTCCATTAACCATGCTTTTTTCGTGTAAAGGCTTTGGTTGCCCATTTTAATAAAAGAGTGGAAGGAAGGTTTGAATATTGAGAAGAGGAGACTAAAAGAATACAGAGGCTCTGTGTAGACCGGAGTTTCAAGGATAATAAGCAGATGCACGGGCAACGCAGTTTGAGACACTCAACCATATTACTCAATGCCTCTAACCATCGATTACAATAATCCATAAGTTCCTAACGCGACCCTTATGACCAAGTCTCTCATATCTTCATGCCAAGTTTTAGTTGAACTACCCTTTGTTTCCTTATATATATATATATATATATA